AACTCTCCCATCAATAAGTCGGAGTACATGAGTGAACCGGTGCTCACTTTCCACGTGTTGTCTGACTTAACAATTTCTGTCTTATTGTTCTCGTATTGTATATGCAATTCAAACAACAAATTCTGATCAGGGCCATACTGTTTATATCGGTGAAAAATGCCAACATAACTGCTAAACCACCCTGTTCCTAATAATACACTGATAGCATTCTTAGTCTGCAATAACTGAGTCACATCGTAAGCCTGGTATTGAAAAGTCTTATTATAGTCGCTCCAACCGGGACTCAGTTGAGAGTCACCGACAATCTTGTTATTAATGACAATTTTATAGACCCCCTGAGCGGTCGCATAGATTTTTGCTGATTTTATTTTTGAATCAGTTGTGAAATTTTTCCTCAAATATAATACTGGAATTAAACCTTGGTGAGATTGAATAACCTGTTCATAAAAAATATTCTTTACTGGGGTTCTCCTAACAAATAAGTTTTGTTTAATAAAAAACACATACTTTTGAGTCAATATCCGATAGGTTTTGTAATGCCTTTTGTTGAGTGCCTTTCGGGGCACCAACCCATTGGGCCGTCCAGTCATTAATGTCCACTCCTTTATCCCAATAGTTGACGGGTTCACGAGTGCCTAATTGTACATGGTCATTCTGGTCCCACACATTCACTTTCCAATAGGCTCTCTGTCCAGACTTTAACGGAGTTCCGGCGTATTTAATATGAGTGGTCCTATCGCTCACCACTTTCTTACTGTCCCATAGATTACCAATATTTGTGTCCAGACTTTGCCGATCTGTTGCCACAAGTATTTGATACGCCTTTTGAGACAAATCATGTTTTGTGGGATCAGTCGCCCGAAGAGTCCATTGGAGTCTCGGCTGAGGTATGTCTACCGCTAATGGATTGCGAAGGTATTCAACCTTCAGGTCAACAGCTGTTATATCAACCGTCGGTGCCGTCAATACTGTTATACACAACAGACTCTCAATTAAAAGACTTAATAAAATCATTTTTGGAGTTAAACCCAAACTAAAACTAATTAAAATTTATTTTTAACTCTATTTATATAAACTCATAATTCAATTGCAAATAATAAATAAGTAAAATCTCAACAAAATCTTTAATTGAGTAAAATTTCTCAAATCAAACACCTGTTGTATTAAATTGTTTATCTGATTTGTAATTAATTTACAGATTATTTTTATACTTAATGTGAATTATTTGATAATTTAATGTTTGAATCAGAAATTTTTAGTCAATTTATTTAATTTCATTTTAAATTGATAATAAAATTTTTCCATTTATTAAATTCCTAATTTAAGCAATGTTTTTGTAATTCTCCTAATTATACATCATATTCACATGAATATTATACATTAAAATGTAGTCTCAATTGTCTACAAATTCACACACAGATTAAGATGCATTCCTCACACATGTCGTTATGATTAAGATTATAAGTCACAGTCATTTGAAAACAGAAGTTTTGATTTACAACTTATTTTGTAAAAGTTTTAAATGCAATCTTAAAATCTCTAATAATTTATTACAAAGTTAATAACATAATAAAAGTATTTTGTTAACTGTAAGCATATTAGATGACAATTAATAATTGTTATTTAAAATAAATTATACTAATTTCAAGAGTAATTAAATAATATAAAATTAAATAATACGATTAAAATTAATTCATTAACATTTACTGATTTATTAAATACAGAGAAAATAATTTGCGTCAAAAAATAGTTATTTAATTTGAATCACATCCTCAGGAATAGGCATTATGTCTATTATAGTTAAGCATTTTTACAATATCCTGGCTCACAAGCAACTATTTTTTTATAACATTCTCTACGGGTTTTTATGTATTGACACCACAATATAAGTTATCGTAGTATTAGTACAGAATTTAGTTATCAATACATCAGTCACTAACTTATACCGAGTCAATGGTATTCAAAAACCCAAAATTACAATTTTGGATAATTTTTGCCTTAAGTAAACATAAATAAAAATATGATTTTCTCAGTCTATCCACTCCTATGGAGAGACAGGCAGTGAAAAAATCTGAGGGAAAACCTGTTGTAATATAAAAAAGGTTTTTCTTTGCGTATAATTCTAGGAAACTCTCACTTTTCATACACAGTGTATACATCGTATGAAAAGTTTTTATATATAAAACACGTTTTTTAGCGCTCTTTCTAAAAACTATTTAATTCATTGCGTTCAGGGATAGGGATGTGAGTGCTTCTCCTTATAATTAAATGTATATAAACTAATGTTCAAGCAGCTATTTTTGAAATTAATTTAGCAATTATAAAAATCTTAATAGTTTTTAAAACTTTTAGTGTAACATTGTCTAAATTTTATATTAAACATGAATATAAGTTGTATTAAAATTTTCTGTATTTGTTTAATAAGTTTGCAAATTACTATAAATTGTCTGAATACTGAAAGTAATGATTATGTGAGTGATAATAATGAAGATTACGATGATTTAGAGCTAAACCATACGATAAGCTATTTGAATGGTACGACAACTCATGAGGACTACGATGAAGACACTGATGAAGAGCC